AATCACAGAATGGCCAGGGTTGGAAGGGACCTCAAGGATCACAAATCTCCAACCCCCTGCCACATGCAGGGAATCAATCTCCACATTTATTGTTAGACCAGGCTGCCCAGGGCCCCATCCAACCTGGCCTTGAACACCTCCAGGGATGGACGGGGCATCCACAGCCTCTGGGCAGCTGTTCCAGCACCTCACCGCTCTCACAGCAAAGAACTTCGCCCTGACATCCAACTGAAATCTGCCCTCCCTCAACTCCAAACCGTTTCCCCTCGCCCTGCGCTGTGGGTTAAGGGTAGAGGCAGAGCGCCAGGCTCGGCGTGTGACCTGCGAACTTACACGGAGCCCAGGAGAGCTGGAAGTGAACGCGGGAGCAGCAGGTGTGTAAACGGCACAGGTGTGTCCGCACGCGCAGCCGTAAGGCTCCGTGAGTGTGACAGCCCACACGGAGCCCGCGGGGACGGACGGGCGCAGCTGTGCGTGCGTGTGGCAGCCGGTGTGCAAGGGTGCGAGAGTCACGTGACAGCGTGCGCGTGCAAACGCTCACGTGACACTCAGTGTGAAAGCGTGAGCGCCGGCGGATCAGCGCGCGTGTCGGTGTCACACGCAGCACCAGCGTCTGTCGGCCGTTCGGAGCCGTCAGTCACCCCGCGGCGCCCTCAGCCTCCCGGCTCCGGATCCCACAGCGGCTCCCTCAGCCCCGGCGGTGCCCTCAGCCCACACCGCCCCGCTGTCCGTCGCACAAAACCCCGCGCGGGTCCCGGCCGGACACTCACGTCCCCCATCCATAGGCTGGCGGCCATACTGCTTTCGCAGAACCGAAGAGGATTCGGCGGGGCCGCGGTTTCGCCTCCCGGCTCGGCTCGGAGCCGATTGACGCCGGGCGCGCGGCCCGCTCCCGCCGCCCCGCTGCCCCCGCCGCCTCCTCAGCGGCGCCCGTCGGGCGGAGAGAGCGGCGCCCCCGCCGCCACGGGAGCGCAGGGTGGAGACAGCGCCCCCTGGCGGCAGGAGGAGCGAGGGCGGGCTGAGCGGGGGGGGCGGAACCGGGGCTCTGCGGGGACGGATTGGGGCTATTT